CTTGCCTAGCATGCACAGCCCTGAGTTCAATCCCCAGTACCACAGAAAAAAGGAGAGCAAAGTGTCCACAGTGGAGAAACCTGGCAAAGGCTACCTTCATCAGGTGGCCAAGGTTAACATCAGTGACAAGTTGTGTTGGTAGTACATACACTTGATATGACAAGAATGATTCTTCACTTGTGTGGTTTTTCTTGCAAAAACCACAACCACACTGTAACCACTAAGTAAAAGAGAAATTCCAGTTGAAACCCATTCTACAAAATTCCTAACCAGTTTTCCTCAAGACAATCAAAGTCATCAAAAATAATGTCTAAGTGTTGTAGCCTAAAGAAACATAGACTTAAATGTCAAGTGTTATCTTGGACCAAAAAAAAGACATTAAGGATAAACTAATAAATCTAAATAATGGAGTTCAGTTAATAGTATCGTCTTATTAATTACAATGAATGTACTGCACAGTAAGATGTTAGGAGTGGGTATGTGGAAACTTTCTGCACTTTATTTCTTTTTTATATATCTTTATTAATTTTATTTGAATATTTTAAAAATACTGTTTGGCAACATTGACTATGTGCTTATCTTCACAACTGTGCTTTCTGTTACAGGGTGCTGGTGACAGTTTTGTGGGAGCCTTGGCCTTCTACCTGGCTTACTACCCGAATCTATCCTTGGAAGAAATGCTCAAGAGATCCAATTTCATCGCAGCAGTCAGTGTCCAGACCACAGGAACACAATCATCTTATCCATACAAGAAAGACCTTCCACTTAGTCTATTTTGATTGCTGTTAACCTCCAAATAAATACACCTGGAAATAAAATGTGATTGAGTGGTCAACCAACACTAGAAAGTCTTTTCTTTGCAAATATTATGTCCATTTATTAAGTCATCGTCAAGCACTTGCCCACAGTGTTTTCTATGACTCATAGGCAATCTCAATCTTGACATACCAAAAAGAAGACAACTGGTTAGAACAAGTATGTCACTTTGACTAAAGTGATGCAAGCATCAATAACAGCAGTATCCAACACAGCCTAGAAAATTAATTATGTTGCCAACAGATTGTTAATGTTGTATGTACACCACATATCAGGGATGGCAAGCACCAGTGTCAAAAGCCAGAGCAGAGAATGTTCAAGAAAGCAAAGGGACATAGGAATTAATCTCTCAAGCACCTTTGGGAAGAGGCATCTGACACTCTTGAGCTTAGGACCAACAAACTAAAGGAAAACTGTTAAACCTGTGATACTGTAGGCCACAGTTTGAATATTTATTGAAATTATTTCATTGTAGATGTCAGCAACTGATTGATATGAATACCCACATTTGGCTCAAGGGCTGAAAAGGTAGGTCATTTGTTAGGCCAGATACTAAGGCTTTTGTTTTTTAAAATGATCTGAGTGAGGTTGGGGACATAGCTCAGTGGATTAAGTGCCTACCAGGCAAGCGCAAGGTCCAGAGTTCAATCCCTGCTAGCAAAATTTAAAAAAAAAAAAAGATCTGAGGGGGCCTGTCCCTTAGCTCAGCTCTTTTAAGTGCCTGCTTCAACAAAGCAGTCAGGCTCAGGTTGCTGTGGTTCGATCCCCAGAACTCAAACCAAACCTGCCCCAAAGGC